AGCTGTGGGTGTCTGGAATTCTTCAAGGCCAGGCTGGATGGGGCTTTCAGCAACCTTGCCTAGTGGGAGGTATCCCTGCCCATGGCAGGGATGTTGGAACTAGAAGAGCTTCAAGGTCTCTTCCAACTCAAAACATTATATGACTTGTTCAAAGATGCTGGACCTTTCCCTTCTCCCTCTACCAGTAGATGAAAATGCTGTTCACTGCCAGCTAATGAAGACAGCTTCTGCGTTTTTTAACAATACAAGGAAGCTGTATCAGCAGAGAAAATACTGCTGCGGCAAGTTAGCCAGACACTGCCTTATGTGCCAAGTAGGTATTTACTCCTGCCACAGAAAGTGTCAGTGGGAAATGTTGTCCAGGACTGGCCATTGCGTATGTCGTAAATGCCACACAAGCTGCAAAGAGAATCTCAGATTTTGTTTGTCTTGTTCTCCACCCACCTCAAGAATACTCCCTTCTTTTAAAAAAATAATCAAAACTATTTCTTGCTAGTATAACTACCAGCCCTTCTTCTCTTCTGTCTATAATTGAGGAATTATTTTATATGATTGTTGATGCTCCCATTTTCATCGTAGACTTTCTCCTGTCTGATTTCTAACTCAGTGAAGCTTTCAAAATGCTGTGACTGAAGTTTTTAAGCAGGCAGATCCCTAGGCCTCTTGTCATTGCCCTTGACGTGTCAGTCAGCACCACCGTGCTCAGCCACAACCTCCCTCAGAGATCATCTCTATCTCTGTCCTCATCTTGAGAAAACTGCTGGACTCATATTCCTCTCTAGGACCATTGGTTTTGGGGTGGAAAATATTGCTTCTTCATGTAGTTTTCTCTTTGCAGTTAAACTGAACAGTTTTCAGGCAGCAGTTGTGCTCTGCTTTTATGTTTGAGGAACGCCCAGCACAGCGGGGCATTGTTCCAACTTAGTGCTTCTAGGTGATGCAGTAAGAAAAACAGCATTCTACTACTACTACTACTACTACTACTATTATTATGGACAACTAGGATCATCTGCAGTACTGTGTCCAGCTCTGGAGCCCCAGTAGCCAGTGACTACTGTTCGAGCAATTCTTAAGATAGGTTTATTTGTTTAATCTCTTTTCCTGAGATAGGATGAGATAGGAGCTGACGGAATGAACAGATTACTGAAAAAGGGAGAGGTGGAAACCTGAATTTATAAACTCAGCTGCATTTCAGGTTGGTCCTATAAGTAGGAGTTTGCCTCCCAATTAAATCTTCTACTTATATGGAAAACAAAAAATAAATCTGGAGCTTAGTATTCTTTCTCAAGTTTCTGTTTCAGCTGTTGGTGTTTTCCTGCCCCTTCACACTGCCTCTCTACTTTGCTTTTCTCCATTTCAAGTCTGGCTTATAAAAGAGAAAGCATCATGCAAATTTTTATGGGATTGTACAGTCCCTTGACTAGCTCCAGTGGCTGAACGGAGGTTGGCAATATACGATACCAATTCTATTTTTAATTCCCCACATCTGTTCGCTATCAAGAGATGCCATTACTGTTGTGGTCTAATACATGAATGGCAGTCCTGTGCCTCTTCTCAAGAGAAAGTATTTTTAATAATAGCAACACTGAAATTAAAAGTATGTGATACATATAGCCAAGGACGCGTACAAAAAGCTTACTTCTATGAGGCCCGACCGCTAATGCAAAAATAGCCAAAGTCAGAAGATGGGTGGGCAGGCAATCGTTGCACGCACAGCTCACAGCTGCTGCTGCTGCTGTAACTCCCGAATTCCCAGTAGGGAAGTAAGAAGAGCATCTGTGGGGTGTCTGTCGGCTAGCAGTAACAGCTTGCAGCCTCACGTTTCCTGGAGGCTACGACAATATCACAGAAAACATACATTTCAAGAGGAATGGCATAACTGCCCCGCACTGTTTTCTAAGAAAGTTACTGTTATATGCAATTACTAATACTTTTAAGGGGTATTTCCACCTTGGCTGTCGTCCACGTCAGTGACTGCATTTGACTGCTCTCCAGCCAGGGTGAGCTTCAGCCCTCAGCCCAGCCCCATGGTGCCCGGAGGCACGAAGGCCAGGGAGGGCATGTCCAGCCTTCGCTAAAGGCTGGCTTTGCCATGACTGTGTTGCCCAGATGAGTTCCCCATCAGCAGCAGCAGAACGGCACGTTTGGAGAGGTTTGTGTTTGCTTTGTGTGGAGTGGTTCAGGAGGCCCAAAGTGGAAAGCATGTATTTACCAGTTGCGACTCAGATAAAGCCAAAATTTTGTGTGAATACAAAATGAGAACAAGGAAACTGCACAAGTTCGCTTAAGATGTCAAAGCAACAGTAGGAAGAGATGAGCTTGGAGGATCTCAGTGCTGACCACTAAGCCTCAGCTGATCCAGGTCTAAACCTGCAATTAAAATACTCGTTTCCTCCCTTCCGAAGCTCACTTTTGTAGAGTTGTTCCCTACAATGAACCATTCCAGGGACCTATGATGAGTGCAACGACACAGGCAACTATCATTTGTTCACATTAGCAGACCATCTAGCTACAATTGTGGTTACAGCTTGTCTAAGATTGATTTCCTAAGCTGTTCAACTCACACATGAACACTATATAGCTATTACACCATTGACCTGCGAGGTCCTTACATATTTTTGAAGACATTTCAAACACACAAATGACATCACTCAAAACCCTGCAATAGATCCTTGTGTGGTTTGGTCAGACGAGTTTCAACGGTCACTGCAGGAGACCACATAGGAAACAAGTCCCCAGAGTTATTGCCTGAGATTTGGATAAAGTAATGAACTGATGTATGGAGCTATATGTTCTTACACATACGGGCTATACCTTAATGCAAACTCTTCTGCCCAATTAATAAGACCTCACTGTTAACAATAACTCATCCGTCTAACCACAACAACTAAGGAAACACTGTATCAATAGAAAATAGTATTGAAGTGGTGTTATGGGGTTTTATATTCTGCCATTCATAGTTTCATCCTTGAAAATAAACTACTTGCAAAAGCAAGTAACTGTGTTCAGCGTTTGTTTTGACAGTTATATTAAACGCAAGTAGCTGTTTGTACCCATAGAGTATGGGGAAAAAAAGAGATAGGAAAGAAGTTAAATACACTAGAAGATCATGCTGAATGAAAACGCTTTCCCCGGAGTTTTATAATAATCTTTCTGGACTAACAAAACTTTTAACTTGCATCATCAAAACAATCAGTAAGAGGAAGCCTTTGACCAAGTCTTATTTCTAAAACGCACAGACAGCTTCAACGCCTTTCCCAAGTCCTCAATATTGTATACAAGTGAAGGAAAGAGGAATACTTCTCTCGGTTGCTATTTATATTGAACAAGAACACAAGGCAAAAATACAACTAAGGCAAAACTTTATTTTTTTTTTGGTAGAAAGAAAAATGAAGCAGTATTATAATGAAGCAGTCTTAAGCAGCATTTTCTAGGTTTCTTCTGCAGCAGAACCTTCACCAAGCCTCATTAAACTGATAGTCTTAGTGCATCTTTTTTTTTCAAGTAAAGCAAAAATACTAAATGAGATTACAAGTGGCTGTTTGGAATATTTCTTATGGCCATGGCCCCCTAATGCTCCTTAAAGTGGGGATAGCATCCACTGCTATTTTTACTCATCTACTTCTCAAAACTGTATGAATTGTGCCAAACCTTTTTCTAGTTGCTACCCACTTAGTTTTTCAGTTTGCACTACCCAAAATATCAGTGAAACTACTGGATTTTTGTCAAGTGTCAAGTTCCACAAGTCAGCTCTTGAATGCTGGCACCTAGTTCAAAAATTGCTGTCTTAACCCAGATAACATTACGTTATAATACATCTGAAGGTCAGTATAACATACACATACATCTTCACACTACACTTGCCTGTTAGGCAAATGCAATATTACAGTATTAATTTTACTTGCACTTAGGTAAAATACAAACTCTATTTGTCTGCAAAGCAAGAGATTTTGATTTTGGTATTGTGAATTACATGTACACTCATTCCTTCCGTAGTTTCATGCTAACTGTATGTATAGACAATTTAAGCAATGAAATGGGGTTTAGCTTGTTCTTGGTACAGGACACTTGCTACATGCCCCAATAGTCAGTTATCTGAAAACAAAACAAAACAAAACAAGCAAAACTGCCTAACAGTGCTTTAGTATTCATTTGTTAAAATCCAAAACAGCCTTACAGTAGCTGTTAGGTAGTTACTAGTCTCTTCCAAAGACATGCAGTAATAAAGAAAAAAATTGTATCCTTAAGCAGCATCTGACAAAACAATTTAATGTAGCTGCCACTTAGTGGCAGCAATCATTTAGGCATTTTTGGTATTGATACATCTCTTTATCACGTAATTTGTGCATTAATCAACAAAAATGTAGGCCCCAATCCAGCAAATACTTGCATGTGTGCAAATGCTTTTCTTCTACATGGACAATTTCAAAATAAGACTGACTCAACAGATAAACAAAGTTAAGAACTCACATAAATCTTTACAGGAGGGGAATTCTTAGTGCTTAAAACTTAAGTCTATTATTTCATAGGACTAAGATCCAATTCTAGACTTAGAGAACATAAGAAACAGTCCTATAAAGAACAGATATGTTGCTTTAAGATAAATGCTTTCAGAGCTAACAAGAGCCTCTAAAAATGCGTGTGCCTTCTCTCCAAACACTTTAATCCTACTTGGAGTAACGTGGGTCCAGTCTTACTGCCCTAGCTCCTGGCTACTGCATCAGGAATCAGTAAAGTGCTTGCACAGATTCCGCAGTCATGGAATAAAATCAAGTTTAAGTACCTTCAGATTTACAAAATATGAATTAAGGGCTGATGTCTGATCCCTAGCATGCTTCCCTGAATCGATAACAACTATGTTCTTCATTCTGAAGATAAATTAGAATTCTGCTAGGACTAGGTATATTTCACCTTTGTCCCAGTGAAGTCATCCCGTCTGCAGAGGAAAATCTCAACTGGATTTAATTTCAGTGTAAATGTTCATGCTTGACCAAAACACAATGCTCATGCAATTCCACAAGCACCAGCACTGAATGTGACAGTTAGCTTTGTTCAATCAAACATGAGGCACTAGTATTGTCTACAGTATATCCACTTTGAATTGTGTTCATAATTTGTTTCCAAATGCATCATAATCCTGAGAGGTCTTGCTTGCCCTTTAAGATTTCCTTTGATTTGATGTGGTTTGTCCCTCTTAAATAAAGTATCTTTGATATTAGCTTTGATACAAATTCTATTGATCTTTGTGGCATTTTTCTCATTAAATATACATCTGAATATTTAAATTACTAAAACTTTCCTCTTTAGATAGATACATACATATATATTTTATATTTTTTTGCTAGTTTTCAGATAATTAATCTATGAGAACTGGCTTAGACTGTACGCTCTTTGTAGAGAACTTATTTATGCTCCTCATACAAAAACAAATAATGGTTTGAAATATTTAGCCATATGTTTGGACAATTTTTTTTTAAAGGCTTCGGTGTTGCTTGTATTTATCTTCCAGTCAGTTACAGGATAATAGCAACAGCAAACACATTGACAATGCAGTTCATTGTTCGGTTTTCCCATCTCACTGTGCAGGTTCCTAGAAGAGATTATTACAAAATAAAAATAGAATGCCAGTCTTCACTATATTCAGTTTATCCAGAGTAAATTATGTCAAATTAATAATTCAGCTGTGATTTAACGTAAACACTATTACGTCATCTTGGCTATCAATAGACGACATTCCTCAAAACATTTTCCATAATTTGTACATTTTTTACTACTTAACATTAGCCTCGTATGCTTAAGACAGTTTCCTGCATAACACAATTTCAGCATCTTTTTTTAAAAGCTGGACTCTCTTTATCTCTCAGTATCTCTCTTTGATTTGAAAGCTTTTAGCTTTCAAATCCTTGAAAATCTCATACTGATACTGGCAAGATAATCAGGCAAGAAAGCAGAAAGATGATTGGATCAAATACGTTCTAGCGTATTTTAATTTCTGTAAATTTTCTTCTTCTATTGTATCAATATATCGATGCCTTACAAGCCAAGGAAATATGAGATTAAATTGTACTTACTTCTTTACTTAACCTCATTTTATGATTTTTTTTAACCTTAGTTGACTTTCTAATGCCATCTCTATTTTAAAGGTACATCTTGGCGCCCTCTTCTGAAAAGACCTTTCCAAGCCTGTTACAGACATAACATTAACCTTCTTTCCCCATGATACTCTGAACCTGGTAAACATGCATTCAGAATTAATTCAGAAGGGATAAAACCTATCCAAGGCCTGGCTGACAGTTAAGCAACCGGAACATGTACTGTTAGTCAAACTACTTCTATTTTTCATCACGTTCTGTTCTCCTCCAAAGCAACACTGTCTCCTTACAGCAGAGGAGCAGGTTTGTTTAGGGACTACCCATTTGCATTTACTGCAAGCAATGGTTTACTGCCTCTTCAACTCATCTGTGTTACTGAGGAGGATTAAATGTTCTGACTCTTGTTTCAGACTCCCAGTTCCTACTCCTGCTTCTGATGATTTACAAAGCTGCTAACAGAATATTTCTGCTGGGATTGTAAATAAGCATCTAATTCTGGAAGCTACTGCTTCTACAATCACTCTTGAAAACATCCAATCTAAGTGCTACAACTAAGCAATAAGTAACATTTCTTTTACTGCAAATTTTTAATTGGAGTGAGGAAACGTACCATCAGTTGTGGTATCCCAGAAGCACGAGCTTGCCGTGTGAAGACCAGCTCCACTCCTCTGCATCACTGCACAGGTTACTGCAAGATACAGTCATAAAAATCGAGAAATTCATTATTAAAGCAGAAGAGGTGAATCATTCAGCACTTCTGAACTTGAGTCTGCATTATGTTTTTGAAACGGTTGGCAGGCAGCATTCAGCCAAGTCAAAACCTTTTTTAACAAGCCCTGCGCTGCCAGTATTTTCCTCAAGAAGTTGGTATTTATTTCACCATTATTTTTGCTCACATAAAGACGATGACTTTAACAAAATGCTTGCTAATAGGATTATGAGTTTTATCTTTTAAACTACTTAGGTATGGCTTGTGCCACGTGCACCTCAGAAGAGGACTGCAGAAGACGTCCTCGCAGGTACAGCAAAAGTCACACTTGATGAGAGCTGTTTCCCAAAAGCAGTGGTTGACTGCTCTCTGAAGGCACACTCTGGCAACATGAAGCATTTCTAGACTTACCTGCAATGGTCATAAAACCACGGACAATCTAAATCCCAGACTTTCAAAACAGAACAGAGTGTAAACACTTGCTATTGCATCAACGCAAAAGGACCTAAGTAGGTTAAATGTCTACCTAATTTCCACTTTCTTTCCACAGATATGCATAGAAAAATAATGGGACATGACTTAGTATACAGGACTGAAGTCTTTCAAATATCTGTATTTATAGGAAGCTTAATCCTACTGAAAATTATTTCCTGAACTGATACCAGAAAGTTGATACAATTGTTCTGGGGTTGTTTAACAGTCAGGAAAGGCTGTGTAACACGTCATCTTCTGCACTAAGTGTTGCCGCTTAGCCCAGAAACTGTCATGGTTTTAAAACAGGTATTACTAAAAATCTATGTAATGGAAGAGTTCAGCTTCGTTTACAGTTTAAAACTTTCTATGAAATATAGCACTGCATTCAGTTGAACCTTTCAGCAACTTTTTATTGTGACTGTATGTGATACACTAGAACTGCCTGTACTTACCAATGTACTTATATGTCTTTCCAAGTTTTACCAGATGTGTCAGCGACTGTTCTACTATAGCAGCAGTCCACTGGTTGACTTTGTTGTGATTATAATCTGCCTTGCCTAAAACACTTTCTATGCACTAAAATAGAGGGAAAAAAAAGTAGTTAAAGTAAACATACTTTAAAATGCAGAGGTTTTAAAATATTTCGCATAACCTGAGGAATGTTATCTGGCAATTGGATTACTTTAAATCACTTGAGCTCACCAGGTATCAGTTGCTGAACTGGAAGCAAAATAAACCCTCTCAGAAACTTCTTTTCAGTACATATTTACCACAGTATTATATGGAGAAAAATTAAGCTCTGACTGAACATTTCTTGTAGGAAAGACCTTAGGCATATGCTTTAAGTACCAAATTAAGCAAATGGATCTATTTACCAGTGAAGACAATAACACACCCCACTGCTGCTAATGACTGCCGACTCCAGCTTGGCTTTCAGAAGCTACTGTAATGGAAACAGTACTACTCAGATCAATAACAGCAGCTTGGGGTGGCTACTCTTTCAGAGCCTTTGAGCAATACACCAAAATCTTCAGAGCTACAGTGACAATAGTGAAACATCTACCCCAGCTTAAAAGATGAGGACGGTATGAGGGATACACAAGGGTTGTATCCTGCAGCACAAGAAATATGTGAAACCACTTGAAAACTGCATGTTCTCCCACAGGTACAGGTTGGCCAACCCTCGCTTAAACTTAAAATGATTGAACAGAAAGCCTTCTCTCTAACTATAGCTCAAACCGCATTCTCTACTTGTAAGAAATGCAGAATTATGTCCTGGTGGATACTTCTCAAAACACAGAAATTTGGTCAAGAAATGTACACCTGGAAAAGGTAAGTAAAACAAAACCATCTTCTCCTCTGATTAAGTAAGGTGAATCCCACAGCCTAACCAGCCACTAACAGGCTGTGTAAGAGACTTGTGCCCCAGACCTTAAAAAGTCCAAGTAACTGTGATCACAGGGTAAAAGCTGTACAAAAGACACAATGGAAACAAGCATTCACAAAACAGAACAGAGGACAGAAAAAGGACACCAAGACCCCTCAAGGATTTGGGTCCTTTCAGAAATGTATCCAGTGCTAGAGTTCCTCAGCTCTGGTTAAGCTTTCATTCACAGGCAGAAGCTCTTGGCTTCACTCCCAGAGTCTGGAGACTCTGTGATACCGTATTTGGCCTTTCCAGGCAGGGACAGTTACATAAAGGGTTGAATTGTCGTTTATCTGACATCCAAGAGCTTGCTGCTGTGTAATGGAGCAGTTCTAAAAGTGCAGACCTTTCCCTTCCTGACAGGGCAGGTGGAAAAGGACCTGCATAGCCCCTCTGGAAATTCCTTTCTCAAAACTGTATTTCCCTGACAAAAGCTGACAGCCAGGCTCTTTATTAATCACTTTCCAGTTACTAGGTATTTAATTTAGACCAACAGGCTACTCACTTTCAGACTGTTCTTTTTGTGTAGAAACTGTTTTCAAAACCATTGCTAGAATAACGAGTTTACACAGCGCAACCTCCTGCTCAAGCCAAGACTAATTTCCAAGTTTTATCACACTGCTCAAGGACTTGTCAAGTTTTAAAAATCTCTAAGAATGGAGATTTCTCAAACTCTCCCTGCATCCTCTCTAGTGATTAAATACTCTCTAGCTGGATAATATGAAATACCAAAATATAAAAATCTGAGTGACTTTCCCTTGTAACTTGTGACCGCTACCCCTCATCTCTCCACTGTAATGTGAGTTCTGACATTCTTTTCTCTCCTCTACCCTCTCCTCTTTAGGTAGCTGAAGAGAACAATTAGATGAAGCTTAAAGCAGCTGCAAATGAAACTCCATCTGTAATTGATATAATACTCATGTAAGCTTGAATTTATCTGGGATGGTGAATGAAAGTAACTGCTTTCACTGTAGTGCAAGCTTTGAAATATAGCTGATAGATAAAACCTACCTCCTTAACTATGTTGTGGGCCTCATCAGCATTGAAGATCATCTGTAACAAAAATTAACTATTATTATTTTGATTTAAAAGTAAAAAAATCAATCCAGTTTTACTCTGAGTAATACATAATAATCAGACCCTGTGCCTGGTTACTTGCATTATGCAGTCTGTAAGCATAATTTTAAAATCTTACCTTTTTTCCCTGGCACCATACATATATTTCTTAGTATTGTTTTGCCAGTCACATTTGAGCAGGTCCAAAAAGCTCAGGCCTGAAAACAGATTCAATTTACGCTTTCTGTAAAGATTAAATTCTACCACTGTCTGTGCTTGTCGCGTGAATATTCTTCAAGACTAAAAGTTAAACGGCAAATCTCTTCCCCTGGGTCTCAATCCAGGTTTTCACTGGAGGCACGGACTAACTAACCCATGGGACGCATCTTGCTGCCAAACAGCAATGCAAGGTTTCACAGCCCTAGATTCAAAAAGACTGGTTTCCATAGCCAAGTAATTTTCTGAAGCATGGAAAAAAAGCTTACAAGTTTTAATGCCTCCTATTTTCTGCTCATTCCTACTCATCAGCATCTAGCATGGCTTCCAAAGGAAACACAGAACGTGCTGCTGTGACACCTGCCTCTTCATCGCCACGAATTCCAAACGATTGGGCGTGGGCAGAAACCCAGCATGTTTGGTTTTTTTAATGAAAACTGAGAGCTAAACACCCGAAACAAGCCTCTCTGGGGAGGGAAAGGCCCCTCAGCTCTGGCTGGCAGGGACCAGCCTGCAGCACAGACCGGGCCCAGCAACCAACCCCGGCTGGCTGGTTCGGTTTTTGGGTTTGCTTTTTTTTTTTCCCCCGGGGTTGATCCATGAAATTTTAGAACAAAACATGGCTGCAGACTGACAGCACCGCCCCGACACCGCTAACTTTGCCTCGCCGGGAACTTTCAGCTCCCCAGGCCGGCACAGCCCGGTTGCTGCTTTCAGGTTTTCAGTAACACGGTGGCAAACGGGTGCCCCGAGCAGGCG